TATTCATTCTTTTGCCAATCCTATTTTTAGGAGAAATGATTATAAAGCCTTTTAAAGGTGTGTTGGACAGATCCGTCAATGTGCCCTTCCCATCTACGCGCGTGCCATGAGGGAAGATATTCTATTCCCTCCATTATTTATGTTGATGTTGTGTGTGCGTCTACGCCCCAGCTTTTAAAAAAAAGGAAAAAAAAGTTTATATAAGGATTTGGCCCTAAACAATCGCATTAAGGTGCATCTCAAAAATTCCCTCGGAGAAGTTGTTCCGATGCTAAAAAAATTGTCAAATCGATCATCTTGACTTCAAATTGTATAAATATGAAAAATATGAATTCCGATGCTAAAAAAATTGTCAAATCGATCATCTTGACTTCAAATTGTATAAATATGAAAAATATGAATTTCAAGTCATGAAAATAGTGAATCTTGTAATGTATGTTTTAGACTGTCAATTTCACGACTTTCAATTGTTCATAGGTATGCATAATCTACACTATTTTTGAAGTTTCAATTTTTATAGTTAGAGATGAAAACAAAGATTTTCAATATTGAAACAATATTTTTCAATACTATTTGAAAGTGTATCTTACTTTGATTGATTAGGGCCTCAACTTTATACAAACCCCACCTGTTGAAGAAAATGTTATTACAAACCCCACCTGTTGAAGAAAATGTTATTAGAGTGGTAAAAATTTTACAAAACATGATCAAATTAATTAATTTATTGATAAAGCTATTTTTTTAGATTATTTCACTCAAGTAACTCCACAAGTATTTATTGAGCAACGACCTGTAATGCTGTATTATGGACTTTGACTTTCCGCAAAAGTTATGGTATTTTTGTAATTTAGCCACACCAATGTTGTAAAGGGCATCTTTGTGATTTAGCCACATTTGTGTCATGAAAAATATTTAAAATACCCAGGTTGATTAGGGATTATAGATCCAAGGCATTTCGGGTAACTTGATAAAATAATTGAGGAGCTACTTAAATGGAGATCTAATTAAAGTGCGATCACTTTCCTGATAGCTTGGTTGATTTAACTACCTCTATGATTTTGTGAGCCAGTTGGCAATTTAATTTGTATTTTATATAGCTCCTAAATAATTCTAAAAGTTTTATGAGATCTTACAGGTCCAAATTTCCTTTGAATTCCGAACAATTAAAATTCTTCAAATTTAAGAAAAAGTATACAATCTGATTTTATATCTTTGGTATAAGCCGGTCACAATTAATCTTGATCATTAGATGTGAAGTTAGATGATTGCATTTATTTGATTGACTAAACTCAAACTTCAAAATAAATTTTTTCGAACTTTGTGACACACCCAAGCTATCAGATTTTACATTGGATGGTTGTAAGTAGTTGTGACTTCTTTGTATTAAAGGTAAATAGTCTTATTGTATACAATCCCCAAATTTAATCTGACAATTGGAGGAGGTTTCTACAAGGTGCACACTTTACAATATACAAGTAAGGTCCACCTTCAAATTTTTGTTGGAAATTATAGTTCTTGAGGCGAATACGTTATAATGCTTGAATCTCCTTATTATCCTAATTATAAAATTTAAAATATAAAAAACAATTCAGGTCAAACATATCTATATACACTTAAAAATCTTGAAAATAGATGGTCTAGATTACTTGTTACAAGATACATTATTTTTTAGGAGTTGATTTTTTTTTTCTCTATTAAAATCCCTACATTTGGATGTTAGAATAATCAAATTGAAGGTTTTTCAACTTCAAAATACGCTTTTCCACTAATTTTTTAAGGTACAACTTATTTCTATAATAAAATAAGGCAAAGTTACTTGGAGTCAGAAGAGCCCTGCAGACTCACTAATGTCCTCTAATATGGACGTTCTAAAAAAATCCACGGGGCTAAAATGAATTCAGATGGTGTAAAAAAAAAATTTTAAAAACTAATATTTTAAATATTAAATATTTTTATTTTATTTTTTCATAATCATGATCATATCAGTCTAGATTGTAAATCTCTAAAAAAATTTTTATTAAAATCCATTTTTAAGATAGGTTTAAGTGGGGGTCGCATGTGTACAGTATGAGTCAGCTGACTCATAGAAGCGCCATCCATAAAATAAAGTTGCGACCTTGTATAAATTTTCTCCTTTTGTATTTGAAAAGAAGAAAAGGTTTTACACGTCAAGGGGAACACAGTCGTTTTCACTATAATGAAGCAAGTCACCTTTAAACATGGAAGTTGTGGTCGTCTTTTCTTTATTCAAATTATGGTAAGGCGATCACCAACGTCACAAGTCTTCCAATATTTTAGAGAGACAATGATACAATAAAAAAAAGAGAGAGTGTGTATTCAGGTATTAAGCGTGATTATAGGACGAACTATTTAATGGTAACTTTTCTATATATGTCTCTTTGATCACTCACTTAATCATTATTACATCATGTGTTTTGCATATAAGACAACACCTAAAGGAAAATATTTTGACAAGGCCGGAGCCCTATCAAAATCAAAGTAAATAAATTCAAATATGTCATTTCAGCCTTGATCATTATAGTTGTGAAAAAGATTAAGATTTTAAGTCTTAAAAAAAATTAAGATTTTAAGATTTAAAAATAGTTATAATATACCTAAAAAATAATTGTTTGTGGATCCTCAAGATTATATCATTTTTTAGCAAAGTCGTGAGTTTTTCTTTGTTTTCATAGAGCCTAGGCCTTAGAGAAACGGAGTTTGTTGTTTTCATAGAGCCTAGGCCTTAGAGAAACGGAGTTATTTTTCAAACGTTGGATATCCATCCAATGTCAAGATATAGAATCATTATTTTAAATAACTAATTGGTGGAAAAGAAGAATTTAGGGATAATTGAGGTTTGTTTTTTTTATGACAATTTTTTTGTTTATAACACATCAAATAACCTTTACTAACCAATTTAAGTCGACAAATAGCAAGTGCAATTTGTTAGTTAGTCTCGATCACTCTCTTTTCCATCCATTTTTTTTTTTTAAACTATACGATAATAAAGAGTGAGTTACTAATTCCTAGACTATTTATTTATTTTGAACATTATAATTCATGGAACTCTCTGTAATCACATTCATTCCTTAATCTCTATATCCAAGCACTTGCAAAAGCTTTCCAACCAAATTCTTAAAGTACACTACCATCTCAAGTCTATTTTTCCCTAAAATTTTAAATGGACATAATTGCTTTTAGAATAAAGTATTTTCATAATTTAAATTCTTTAAAATTTTAACATATTTCATTTTATGAATAGAAAATCATGTTTGAAAAACCAATAATTATTTTGGCATAATAAATTAGAAAGAGAAACATGAAATAGATCGTTATAATTACAAGAAAAGAATACATTGAGACCATTTATTTTTAATACAAGGTGATCACAACTAATCTTAACCATTGGATGTGAGATTGGGTGGATGCATTTATTTCATTGACCAAATACAAAATTCAAAAGAAATTTTTTCAAACTTTTTGACACACCCAAGCTATCAAATTTCACATAGGATGGTTATAAATAATTGTTTATAACAAAGTTAAATGTTCTCATTATACAATCCCATAACTAAAACTAAAAACTAAGTTACATATCATCAATTAAATCTGTGTAACGCATGAACCATTAATCAGTTATAGGTGTCGGTAAAGAAATTTTAAAGAATAAGATATTTTCACTCCTCTATTATCTTATGCCTGCTCTATATGGACAAGAAGGGCTAATTAAAGGGTGTGGTTTGTATAAGGTTGAGGCCCTAAACAATCAAAATAACGTGCACTTCGAATAGTGTCGAAATATGTTCTTTCAGTATCATAAATTATTACGATAGGCTAAAAGTTTAGTATCATCTCTAATTATTAAATTTAAAGATTAAAAAATGATATATGTCGAGCACATCTATAAACACTTGAAAATTGACGGTCTAGATAATAGATTACAAGATGCATTATTTTCAAAACTTGAAATCTATTTTTTTTCTCAGGTCCATACGTCTTGAGATTGAGATGATTGAATTTAGGGTATATCAGCATCAAAATAACCTCTTCTAATAAATTTTTGGGCCTCACCCTTATATAAACTCATTCCTTAATTAACCCAAAGTAAATATAAAGCGAGAGAAACATTCTCCTCGGAGTTATTCTCATCCAATGGCTTGATTCATATTTATGTGGCTTAAATCCGGACAACACTCATATGCCTAACGCATTTTAAATGTGAAAATATGAGTGATTTAGGCTTCCCATCCAAACAACTGTTAGAACATAGAACCTGCTTTGCATATATTCTACCCCGCAATTTATTGGGCTAAAAATTCAAGTCCACATATTCTCAGACATTCCCCTAAATCTAGGCCGCTGTCACGGTTAGAGAGATGATATTTGGTTGTAGAGAGAGAGAGAGAGAGAGAGAGTTGGTTATAGAGAGAGAGAGAGAGAGAGTAGTAGTATTATTT